TTTAAGGGCTTAAACAATATGTGGGCTTGGCTCAGAAAAGGCTCTTAGAGCTTCAGTGTCTGCTTGTTTTTGAATAGTAAAAGAAGGCAGCTGTGTGTTCAGTGCACAGTGCATTGTTATTAGGCCTCTATTTCTTTACAAGCTGGTACTCAGTTGCGATCTACTTAGGAACTTCAGTTCAGCCCCCCAGACATTTATGTCTAGGTGCTTTTGTTATTAGGCCTCTTCAGAATCCTTTGCATTACCACTGTTGTACATGCAATAAGATGTTTCTGGCTGAAGCAGCACCACATTTTTGCATAGATAATTTACATGGAGTTTATTGTCCTAGCTAGAAAAGTGGTACCATCACAGTTTTCATAACAGACAGTATTTACTCTGTCTGTAGGATGTAGGGAAAAAAATTACTAAAATCAAATATTTTTCTCATTTTCATAATGTTTTCATGGTATACTCATATGCTAAACCCAAACTAACTTGGTAGTTAATAGACATAGACATAGACAGCTAATACTGTATTTTCTCCCATACAAGGAACACCTTTCCCTCCAAAATCAGCCCCCCAAACTGGGGTGCATGTTTTAAGCAACGATGCTGATTTTCTGCCTGGGATAGAAGCAATCTGCTTTGATTCCTGCTTCATGGTACAGCAGCTGTTGCATTACTAGTTAGGCAGCTGAGGGAGTCAGTTGACTTAATTGTTCTTCATTCCAGGTGTGTTAATGATTGTCTCACCTTTTTAATGATCTTGACATTCGGCTAATCAAGCTAACCTTTCTTAGTGCAATTTTGCTGTCTACTAGCTTCTCCTAGACTCTCTCTTCCTATTTCACAACCTTAGGGATTCTAGCTCTTTTCAAAATCATAGATCTACATATGGAGACCAGTTTTCAGTAGCAGCTAGGGTTTCAGCTTTTAGGAAGCAGGAAAGGGCATGTGAGCCAGATGAACATTAGGCTCTGTCCGTGCTCTATGCAGCCATAACTCTGGAAAAAGCTTTTTGTCTTCATTCTACCTTTCAAAAACAGGGTATATATTATATTCAGGAATGGGGGTGGGGGTCGTGTTGTGTCTGAGAAAATAAGGTAGTTTGTTTTCGTTGTGTATTAATGTCGGTACAATACAGATTGTGCACTGAATCCTGCCTTTGAGGCTTCTTTTTACAGATCAAATTAGTGGACTGTTTGCAGTGTTAGGAGACCTGTCTATATAAGTAATCCTCATGTTTTTTGATGCCTTTGAATGGTAAAATAAAGTTTTAGTTTAGTTTCATCATAAGTTATATAATTATTTATATACCAAACACTATTTGAAATATAAACATTTCAATTGCCTCCTCTCTTCTAATTTTTAGAAAAGTGTGGACAGTTTCAGAGAGGTCTCGTCAAATACCCAACCAAGATGATTTCCATTGTGACCTGCTGTAGGAGCAATCTGTAAGCCCATCCAGTATCTGGCACCTCTCTTGACACTTGAGGAGTGATTGCTAAAAGGAATCTAAACACCTTCCTATAAGAAGACATAGTAGAAAGAATCAGTTAGTCTATAAGTCTACCCTGTTCACTGCCTGGCTAACTACCTCTCTTTTTTATATTAGAACTAGACTGACACTACAAATTCATTTTATGTAGAGCACTAAGTAATTATTCAATGAGAAATACTTTGGGTACTCCCAACTATAGCTTTCAGTTGCTCTACCCCCATGTTCTATATTACAATTTCCTTTAAATTCTTTAAACCTTTCCCTTCTTTCTTTTCCCACACACTAAAATTAATTGCTCAACTTTCATATTATATTGCCAGGCACCTTTCCCATTTGTAAATCACCACACGTACCTATGGATCCATACAAATAATATTAGTTACATGTCCTTGCAACATCTTGGCTTTTCTATTGTGTTTTCCAAGTCCCTTTCTATTGTATATTAACAATGAAATCTTATCACTGTGTTTTATTTCCTGGCATAAGAACCTCCTTTGCATCCTTTTGTCACCAGTCTTTTCTTTCATAATGGCTTCCTTCTTCCTTCATGTGGGACAGCTATTTCCTTGTCTTCACAGTACTTAGTTTCTTATGATTTCTTGACTGTTACCATCTTCTTGCAATCCATCTTTTTTCCCACGCAGTCCACCTTTCCATATATGGTAAAATTCGAATTCAGTAGTGCTCAACCTTTTGGCCCTGGGGGCCAGATGTGTGGGGTGGGGCTGGTCTGTGGGTCAGTTTGAGCTTTGCATGTTAGGACTGGACTCCGGGACCCAACACTGCCCCCCTCCATGCCCAGTGCTCAGGGAACAGGCCCTGGGACCCAGCATGGCCCCCTCCTGCCCAGCACATGGGAATGGGCCTGGGGGCCTGACACTGCTCCCTCCTGGCCCCTGGCACACTTGGTTTGGCTCCTAGGGCATGGTGTAAGGATTTGGCCCTGGGGTCTGGTGGTCTGATCCAGTATACAGAGCCTGGGGGTCCCCACAGGTCTAAAAAGTTTGTGGTGGGGGAGCAGTGCCACCACTTTTCTGCTGTCAAATTTCCAGACCTGGGGCAAGTCCTGTGGCCTGGATGACATAGGGCTGTGGGCTAGATCTGGCCTGTAGGCCAGGGTTTGAGCAATCCCATTCTAATCCATTATCTTATTTTCTCTGTGTATTATAATTGCTATGTAAACTTCTCCTTGCAGCCTTTATAACAGGGTGCTCTGCCCCATTTAAAGGATGTTCCAAGTCATGGTCATGTCAGGATGTCAAGTCCTGCTGGAGGATGTGCAGTTGAGTTGGAATGGGGGCTAGGTATTTTACTCAGGTGACTGTGGTGCTCAGTGTGTAAAAAGGCTGTTTAGAGTTCAGTCACGGGGGAGTCCTGGAGTGACAATGTCTGGATCAGAAGCTGAAATGAATGAATGTGCTCTGGGGAAGTCGGTTTGGAGAATACCACATAGAGCAGGAAGAAGGGCTGTGGGCACTTGGTCTCAAGGGGAAGCTAGCTGTGTGAGAAGCCTGCTATAGAAATAAAGCATGCTGCTACAATTTACCCTGTCTGAAGGGAGAAGAAATTTAAGGCAAAAAAAGAGAGCAACAAGTATAGGATAAGACTGTGGAAGAAGGAAGCCAGGTTGGGCCAGGTCCATATTGGTTCTGTATGCATCTACACAGAACTTAGGCAGGATTTAGATGTTTGATTTTCAAAGAAAATCCACCTTAGCAAAGGAAGTATGGTGAAAGCCAAGAGAATCATTGAGAGTCAAAGAGGGAAATGCTGTGACTTAAAGGGACATATTTAAGGACTGGACCTTGGTACGGGCATTAAGATCTGAGAATCATAGAATCTGTTCTTTCATTAGCAGACAGGAAAACTATATCTAGCTAATATCTGGGAAAGGCTCTGTGGTCAGTCCTAGTAGGTTAATATCCTGATAAAAAGACATAATTTATTTGTTTTAAAATATGAGAACTGCAGTTGGAGGAAGTGACAGGTGTCTGAGGGTTGGGTAATACTGCAGTAAGACAGAGGTAATACTACATCTCTGGGGTGCAATAAGGACCAATATTTGCTGTATCTGTGAGCATGGATAGTACTCTATATTATTAACTTATTTATTGTTTACTAGAATAGTGATTGCTTTAATTAAGATGCACAGTTCTATTTCTATTTGATGATTTCTCATAGTGTGAGAAATGCAAAAATAAAGACTGAATTCTACACCAAGGTCTCTTGTGTGGGAAAAAAAAACTTCATAGAAATCCCACCATGTGAATTAACTCCGCTGTAAAGCCTGACAGTGGCCAGACAGGTGGTGAGCTGAGCCTACTTTTATTATGCAAAATTACTGTTTATGCTGCCTTATCCTCCCACGCCCATTTGTTGAATTCATTCACCTGTTGTATCTTAGGATAAACCTAAGCTATGAATTTTCCTGGGGCAGCTACTGTGTTGTTGTTCCTGTTTGTACAGCACTCCTTGGGGTAAGGGATCCTACTGCAAATTGAGTAAGAATGAGATTTTTTTTTGTAGTACCTCATCATTAACTCTGCCCCTAGTGAAATCAGTGGAAGGCTTACCTTTGATTTTAGCGGGGACTGAGTTGGGTAGCTTCGGACCATTTTTCATGCTCAACACCTATGCTATATTTATTTTACAAATGTTCTCACCAACATTAAGTAAATTAATTTGGAGCTGGTGATTTCCAGAGGACAAAAGGCCAGGTATGAATTCTATTTTCTTGGACCCTAGGGCAGAAATAGAGTATCTTCACTGCAGCAATGTCAGCCCCGTAAAGTAATCTTTGCAATTCTAGCAGCTACCTGTCAGGAAGTAGGGGCAAGCAAAGTAGGTGCTGTCTCTCCTCTCTCCTGGCCCCAAACAGTATGTGGGGAACCCCCATAGAGCTGGCTGTGCATGTCCTGTGTGTGGGCCAAATAAAATCCTGCTCTTTGATGGTGAACCCACTAAAGAGGCAGGATTTACTCCACAATGAGAAGCCACTGCATCCTTCAGTAGTCTTTCATTTCTGACATCTAGAGAATTTTGTGAGTAAACATTTTCTGGATTCCAACTGGGGTTTCTAGTTACCATTCTTATATTTTACTGCCTCTGTGGCTGGAAACTTCTGCCAGCTGCCTGCTTAAAAGCAAGCGATAATATTTCTTCTCCACAAGCAAATTTGGCATCTGTGTTTATTTTCAGTATTGTGGTTGTTACGATCATCATAGGATAAAAACCCTGCATGTTATTTTTGACCCTTTACCAACATGCAGTGATCATCTTTCAGGGTTAAAATACTAAATAACTTGCCTCATGCAAGTACAAACAATACTGTGCTATGACCAACACAATATTGATCACCTAAGTAACTTAGGAGTTTTCATGTTGTTATGGTTCCAGCATTAAAAATGTCTTTCCAGAGCAACGAACAATGAAGCTATTCCTGTGATACAAAGGTTGCATGCAATAAACTGAAAGCAAACATTCAATGCATATTCTTTTGTCTCTTTTTCTTGCTTAGATTGAAAACATAGATGCATGCCTGAGTTTCTTGGCTGCCAAGGGAATTAACATACAGGGTCTTTCAGCAGAAGGTGAGTCAATCTGTCATTAGCAAATGTATTTTATAATGAGGGGCTTTACCCTAGAGATAAAATAAGAAACTAGGACTAATACAAATGACTTTAACTTGTGCTTCTGTTTTTTTCCCCTATGTTTTTACCATATCTCTGTAAAAGGTGAATATAATATAAGTCTAGGCTCAGTACAGTTGACTAATTAATTGTACAAATAAACGGTGAGAAGTTTAGGACTCAACCATTAAAAGGCAAGATCAGAAATATTGCAACTGAGCTCTACAAATTACACTGTGGAAAACCAAAAATTATATGGCTATGGTCATGACAAAGGCAAATTATATCCTAAATATGGCAGCATGTGAAAATTATAGATATAAAGAAACAAAAAAACCCCATATATGGTTGTGTCTTGTAAACACATGTTGCAAAATTAGGCAAGTGAAGTTGTCCTCCTGTAGTAGATCAAGTCTTGTACATCTGTACTCATAGGATCATAACTTATATTTTTGCCACATTAATAACAAGCTGCATCATCAATTGTGCTGATGAATCAGTGTTTAGAATTTAAAATTAAAACTAATTATAAACACTTCATATAACAGCAATTTTTAAAACTAGAAATGGGCCTGAACCTGAAGACTTCATCCAAATATTTTTGAACTGTGGGGAAACACAGATTTAGCAGGTTAAGCTATCTTCTGTGTTTAAAAATATTTTTTAATATTTCTGTTTGTAGTAGAATCACCAACTGTATTTCTTTAAAAAGTATTTTTTTACTGGTGTGTGCACACGCGCGCGCGCGCGCACACACACACTACATCTGTATATATTGTGTTCCTGATTGAGAGAGAGCACTAGTTCTTCATTGTTTATTTTTTCATTCTGTTTTACACAAAGGAGAGTTTCTGCTTTTTAATTTTCTTTAGGTAGATTTTTAAAATATGCCTCTAAATTTGTGTAACAGTAAAATGTAAATCAAATCAGACCTTCTATTAAGTCCACCAGTCATCAGTGGTGTTATATGAGTAGCTATTCACTCTCCAAACTGAGAAGTCCCTTCATGCTCTCGTTGTTACGTAGTGTATTCTCTCTCTCTCTCTCTCTCTCTCCTGCTCCTGTTAAGAAGGCATAGAACTAATGAGTGTTCAAAAGGGATCAAACAAAATTTAATAGGCTTGTAAGTCTAATTCAGGACTTGATTTCACCTGTACTTTCGCTTAAGTATGTTTGGAAAAGCAGTTGAGTGCCAGCAATCTGAGGAAGTGGCAGTTAACTTTGACTCTCAACATATTATGTTACACCTTCCTCAGTATTTCTCAGAACAAGTAATTGGATTTGCAAGTTCAGGTGAGAATACTTTGTGGGTTTGATTTCTTGACTTTGTTGTCAAATGTGAGTTGAGAAGCTGGACATTTTGCAAATTGTGCACATTTTTTCTTCCGTTTGGAGAATTGACTTACCTGGGTATAAAGCTAAGATTTCTTTCTCTGAGCTCTTGCCAGCATACATAAAAACACAGTAGATTTGAAAGCCTGTCTGATCAGGTAACTGACACAGTTCATAAATATAAGATCAACAAGCCCTTTCAGTTAGAAGAGGAAAGGCTTTCTGTCGTGGCTTTCTCTGCCTTGTTGCCAGCAGCTGGGAGCTCCTGACTGTAAGCACAGCATTGGGGAATCCCAGCTCTTCATGCCAAAGAGATAATTGTATGTGGTTTCTAGCTGCCTTGCACTCTTAGTAAAAGACTAACTGGTATGTTATGCCTGAAATTCAGTGCTTGATGGTTTCTCAGAGTATTCCCCTTCCTGCTACCCACAGATATTTAAGTGAGAAAATCTAGTTAGTTGATGGATAAGAGTTCATCCGTTTTGGGTTATATTATATTGCCAAGTAGGCTGATAATGTGAGGCATGCACTTTACATTTAATATGTATGTGAGAAGAATTTCCCTTTAGGAAAAGATTATTATCTGTAAAAGAACTGATACCATCTGGCACCCTGAGGGTGAAGAAGGACAACTGGTTTTGGTTGAAGGGAAGATCTTTAACCTAAATGCTGAAGGCTGGGTAGTACCTTTCAGGCTAACTGGTAAAAAGATAAATGATGTTAAAGTGAAAACATTCTCATGGCCAGTTAAGCGCTTAAAAATTATTTCCCATTTCATAGCATGGATTTTCAGTGAGCTAGCAGATGCCTCAGATAATTCCTTCCTCCTGTGTTTATTAAGTTATATATAATATAATACTGCTCATTTCAGTGTTTGCTACTGAACAGTTTCTATTCACAGCACTTCAGCCTTACTAGGTTCTGCCTGGGAGCAGATTTTTTTTGTTACTTAGATGATGACCCCTGTAGCTTAGTTGAAACACACCATCTCCTGCTGTAAATAAATGACACCACTAAAATATACCCCTAGATAGCCCACACTGGAAACATTGTTATGTATGTAAATATTATGCATGTATTATAAGTTCAAGTATCTTAACAAAGGTATAGCATTACACTAAATATAAATGGCTGCCAAGTGTTGCACCGTTCATATAACACATCTCAGCCTTGCAGATACTGCAAAGAGGTTAGAGTACTGGTGTAAGCTAGGATATCCTATCTTCTCTTCGCTTTCTAATGCTTCAAAGCAACAGTGATCTTTTGGAGATTTGGAAAGATCTGAATGACTCCCTTGTTTGACTCCCAGACACCCTCCCTTTCACTTGCAGTCAGAGACAACTGGGTGATGCTCTCCCCCATTGCAGTGGCACTTTAAAATGGAGGTTTAACGCTGTATATAATTGCAGAAAACAAGGCAGTGGGTTCAGGGGTGGATTGGGAGTAGGGGTGGAATGGTGCCAGATGAATGCCATTTCAGTTGAACATACAACGGGAGAAGCGGGGAGTTCCAAAGCTGCTCCTGCCTGCTCCAGTTGGGGTCTGTGCAGAGCTGAGCTCAGCCAGGGATAGAGGCAGCAGTGGGCAGGTCCTCTCTCGTCCCTGTCTGGTCCCTCTTTTGTTTTCTCTGCCAGCCCAGGAAAAGACTCAGGGAAAAGGAACACACCTGCTATCGCCACTATCTCTAGCTGACCAAGCTTCATGTGCAGCTTGGCTGGAATGGGTCAGGAGCAGGTCTGGAGCCCTTCCCACTACCTGCAGATCAGTGGGTGGCAGTGACTTGCAGGGAAGGGAGGAGGCAAAAGAACAGGAGGGCATGTACTGTTGAGCATGGAGGGAAAGGGAAGGGGGAAGGAAAATTTTTACCTGATTGAGGGACCTTAAAAAAGTCCCTCACTGCAACTTATACAATGCAGTCTGCCTGACCCGGTGTTTGCGGTGGGGGTGAGAGCAAGGGATGCAGCCACCTTTGCAGTGCAAATTACAAAATCCTGGATCCACCCATGAATGAGTCATTAATACACGGGATGTTCTCAGTTGATTCTAGAACAGTTGGCTCAACATAAACAATCCTTTCCTACTTAGTGCCTTAATTTGGATTCAGACATAATTTTTTATCCTCCCAGGAGGAGCTTTAGGATAACTGATCAACAGGGATCCTGGTTTTCTCTGAATTTAAAAAAATCTCCAATTTTTGGTTAAAAAAGTAACCCCAAATCCACATTTTTTCATGATTAAAATGAAACAGCACTATATATATGTCTACATATTAGTGGTGTTTCATTTAAATCATGGAACAATGTGGATTTGGGGTTACTTTTTTCACTGAAAATTGGGGATTTTTTTTAAATCAGAGAAAACCAGGATCCCTGCTGATCAAATACTGACTGGCTGACTTGTCTGCATAGCTCCCCTGAAATCAATGGGTCTCCCCATCCAAGATGGGTAAATTGGGGGATTTGACCTAATAAATCTACAGTGGAAACACTGCAATAACTAATGAGAAAATGTAAACCTGTCTGCTGTTCTATAATTAACACTAATTCTTGACCTTGATAAGACACATACATATTACTGTCTTTGTTTCACCTTGTGTGAATTTGTCAGCATGCTTCATAATTCCTGACAGATAGTAACAGAGGCCCTAAGAAAACTTAGTGTGCAAAGTTTGCAGAGTAACTATCTAGGGCAAACAAACCACGTCATAGATACCTGTAAGCCACTTCTACCAGATAACTCGTGTCCTGCTGGGAGTAACTTGTGATCTCACTATTTACTGATGCCTTTCACAGTGTGACTTCTCTGTTCCCAAAGATATAGCAGTGCCTATCCCATGGGAGTTAGAGGGGGATACTAGTAATGGCTGCTACTTTGAAAGATTAACTATTAATAGAAAAATGCAACATATTCCATAGACTGAAATTTTGAGTCTTAAATGCCATAATTATTTAAAATCCTACTCTGGGACACACTCATTAACTATCATGGAAAATGAGGATCTTATTAAAAAAAAAAGCAGAAAGGACATGGAACCCATTAAACCAGGGGTTCTCAAACTTTTTGATACCATGACAAGGGGGTTGCAAACTTTTCTTCCCTCCCTAGAAGTGGTGGTGTGGGGCGCAGGGCCCCACTGCCATTGAGCACTCCATGCTGCCACCGTGTATTGCTTCCCTGCACCCAAGTCTGGCCGGTAGATGAGCGGAGGGCAGGTGGGTTCCCGGCCGCCAGCAACCCAGACTTGGCTGTGGGGAAGTGGGCACAGTGCACAGCGGTGACACAGAGTGCTCAATGGTGGTGTCGGCCCCACCCTCTGTGTCACCACTTCTAGGGAGGGAAGAGAATTTGCAACCCCCTTTTAAATTGCCAGGGGGTTGCAACCTACAGTTTGAGAACACCTGCATTAAACAGTGCCATTACCAAGCCAGCCAGTAAGGCAGGTGTGGGCAGTTATTTCAGCTGGAGGACCGCATAACAAGTTTTGGTGAGGTGTTGAAAGCCACAAGTGTAGCCCTGCCTCTTGACAGGTGCCCTGCCCCTTGGTTCCATCTTGGAACTGGAAGTCAAGCCCCCTAACACCTGACCTTTGCCACCAGAAGTCTCTCCCCTTGCCCCTGAAAGTACTTCTT